ATTCTGACCATTTCTAAGTTGGAGAATAAATGGATAATCACCTAACCATTCGTTAAAGAAAAACGGTTGCATTAGAAAATCCTCCTGCACTCATAAAACGATAATAATATTACATCAAAAATACCAGAATTCTTACCAGCATTGGGTTTAGCTATGAAGCATGTATACGGATACGGATACGGTGATACGATACGACACGGCGATACAAAAAATCTTTAAAAATTAAGATACGATACGCTATGGATACGGCAAATAAAAATGTATGTAGCAACAAAAATATATATTTTAAAACATAATTCATCATTCAAATTCAAGTACAATTTGAGTTGTTAGAGAAGAAAAGTTCAAAATCTAATCCTCTTTATACAGTAGAAGAAGTGTGAAAGTCGTATTCATGGTTTTAATTAGAGGGAAGCTCTTTGTATTCAACAACTTTCAATTATAGATGTCTTCTATTAACTTTCTCCTCCTCATTACCTTTTTTGAAAGTGTAAATATATCCTAAAAGCAGGATATGTGTATCCTAAATGTAAAATACACGTATCTATCATGTCAAATTCGTGTCCATCAACTAGGATACATTTCAGACGAGTATCCGAGAGTATCGGATAAGTATCGTATCCGATCAAGTATCAGATACGGGATACAGGACCAAACAGAAGTATCTGTGCATCATAGGTTTTTAGATGAGCCTATAGGTGTAAAATTCTCATCAGAATTACCAAGATTTTTCCTGAAACTTTTCTTTATCTTCGTGAGAATCAGAAGATGAACTCGAGCATCCTCCTCCAATAAATGCCTGCATAAAGCCCCCATTAAATTCAATTAGTGTTTAAAAATTAAAACATTCAAAAGCAATATTTGTGATACTTTTTACTTGTTATTTTAAAAAAGCATGCTCAAGAAACCTCTAGCCTCTCAGAAAAGGTCATCAAACCATATAGAACCACAAACACAAAGCACATAAGAAATGCAAAGATGCAGATTTTCAAGGAAGCTTAACAACCTCCAGGAGCAAGAAAAAAATGCAAGATGGATTCGTACAAAATGCTACAAACAATAAGCAAATTCATGTCCATTTTAACATGAATACAGTAGCAACATTACCTGCCATTCCAGTCAGAGTGAAACCTATGAAAAGGATGAACAATAGTTTTATTTAAATATTTAAATATATTTATGTTTTGCTTAATTACCAATATTATATACATAACAGCCAATTTATTTTGACCTTATCAATTAGATAAGGAGTTATCTCCTCTTAAATATAAAACGTGGGATTCCTTTTCTATATAGAGAAGATGATCATGTTATTAAGCATATTCAAACTGTTTTGTCCTTTTCACTTTGAATTTGCTTTACGTTTTGACTAAATATTTATGCTGATAAATATTCAAACGTTTTGACTAATATATATTAATAACATGTAAAACAGTCCATATACATAGAAAAGCATAAGATGTATACATACCGTTTTGCCCTTTTCCATGGGATTACTTTATGTTTTGGTTTTTCCGTTTTGTCTTACTTTCAAGCTCTCATTAATCTCTCAAATTCTCAACGTCTTTTTCTCTCTAGTATATATAGCAGTCATTGGATACAATGAAAGTATGGGAAAAAATATATATACTATCGGATATATAGTTTTGAAAAGCAACATATTGAGAGGGTGTGAGTTTGAAGGTTCTTCCACTGTGCAAGGAAGAACTTTATCAGAAGAAAAAGGTTCTGGGCTGTTTTATCCTGGGGACGACGTGGTGTTTGTGAACTGCTTGCACACTTTGGGCAAAACCGCGAAACGTCTTAAAGAGAGCGACTTAGTCCGCGACTCATCCCAAGAATCATTCACCACACAAGGCTTTTACATTTTTCGGGTAACTTCGTTCCTTTCCATTTCAGTTTACAACACAATAGGTAGCAAATCTTTCCGCCTCATTTCAACCTCGTGAACAGGAATCGTCTCTATTTCCATCTCTTCGTCGGTAAGATCTTTACTAAAATTTAGCTCACCAACAACAGACGGCCTCATTGTATAGAAATATATCTAAGACATAAATGAAAGGATCACAAACACATTTGACAATGGTGATAAGCAAAGGGATCTCGCTGTCAAAATATAAAAGGTGCCTTAGACTTTTGCCATATTGGAATCCTTCCGGATTGATCTGAACCTCAGCATTCGAGAGGTACACGTGAGATCGTTCAAGGGGTTTTGCCAACTCGTTACTACTACAAAAAAGACCGTCACTGGTGAAGCACAAACCGACAAGAAATTCAATTTTTGTAAAAAATTTGGTAAAAATCAGACATAAAACAATGGAACGTCGGATTAAAATAGCAACACCATTGCTAGCGTCACAGATGTCGGTTTTTCCGCTTAATATGCCACAAAGAAGCGAAAGTCGGTTTAAAGCGACGTGCCCCTTTGACATGATGTCGGTCATATCCGACATCAGAAAATATCCAATCCAAGGTCGGTTTAAACAGACATTGTGATAAAAATAAACAAATAAAATATCCCAATGTATTAAAATATTCATGCTACTGACGTTCCTAACAGACAAGGATTGTCTGCCCTCCTTTTTTCCATGCCCTCATGTTTTGTGTGGTCACGGTTAAGCCACATTAACATTATATATTTTTTTTTATAAAAATAATAAGACAAAAATGAATAGTAATATAAAATGTTGACGTGGCTTAACCGTGATCACACAAACATCAGGGCATGGAAAAAAGGAGGGCAAACAATCTTTGTCCGTTCCTAACCGAAATCAACAAACAATTAAATAAATAAACTAAGCAAACTGCTGACGGTCTTAATTGACACCACCTTTCTTAATATATCCCCAACATCATTGTCATCATAGTCAGAACTATCAACTTTGTCAATATCGTATTGTTTCCCAAGTATAATCCCAGAAATGCCTTCCTCTCTTTCAGGCCAATCGTTTCTTCGGCAAACATCCACAAAATGAAAACAAAGGAAAAACAAATAATACATGTATATACCTTTAGCACAGAGGGTTCCAAGAATCCGAATAAAAAATCCCTAAATCTGAAAGGCATCGTTTCCCGAAACTAAAAAACAAAACGCATCAAACATGCACAAAAACGATCTGAAAAACAAACGCATCAAACATGCAAAATTCACCTGAAAACGACGGATTAGATGGATCTCAACCAAGTTCGAAGTGAATCCAAAATGGGCACAAAATTTCTGAAATCAAAAACCAAAGAACATGAGATACTAACAAAAGCCATCCAAAAAAAATGGAAAATCAAAACCTTGTGCGGCAACAAACATGCCGAACTTACTTGGAAAACCCAAATCAAACCAATCAAAAACCCAAAAAAATTATTGGAATCAAACCAAAAAAGCAGAGAAATTAACAACCCTTACTACTAATTGAAGAACAACTAAGTAAAACGGTTAATATTTTCAACAACGACGCAGGACGATGAAGAAAACAGAAGCCAAGGCGGAGAAAAACGGACGGCGAAAAACAAAAGAATTGGAGATATGTGAGAGAGAATAGCTGAAACCAAAAGAAAGATCCAGAACAACTAAAGCCAAAACATCCACCGATCATGGAGGAATCAAAAGGGCAAGACTGCACTTTCACTGTACAGAAGCCGAGATAAAGCGATTTGAGACAATTATTTTGAGGGTATTTTCGTCACTTTACTGTTAATAAATAGTAACACTTGAGTTTGGGTTTAGTATATATAAATGTATGCGTGACTACATCTACGATCGGGTACATAATTACAGAGGTTTGTAAAGAAGGTGACTTAAGAGAGTTAGCATACGTTCTTTTCTTGCATGAATTCATGTCGGAAGCTCTGTGTGCTCACTCTCTGTCACCTACCATCCTTAAACCTCCATCTCAGTATTATCTCTCTCAACAACATACAAGATGATACATACATGCATATATACACACACTATCGTTTGACACCATAGTTTGATACTTAAATCCCAAAATGTAAGAGATTATCCAATTCGAAACAGGAAAACCTAAAATATGTCAATAATTATGCACCCAAATCATGTATGTCAATAATTGATATTAAAGCTAAATAAAATTGAGTGGCTTGTGAGATATGTTGGATAAGTCCGTTTGCGGACGGCATAATCATAGAAGAATTCTCGAATTTTCTTGTAATGATCTTTACAGTTTGGTATGGAAAATGATTTTCGCTCTGTATTTTACTTGGTATTTTGGTTACAACAGAAAATGCAATCCAACTCGAGACTATCTTAATCATATTAACTCATCTTCCCTCATCCGAACGCTAGCCTCATATTCCTTTTACCATTAAACTAACCTCCAAATATTAATCACATGCACCGTGATTGATTAAGTGTTTAGATGTTAATTAGTCTCTCACACCATAAAGCAATCCAATAATTCGGCCAAAAGTTACATTTTTTTGTTGAAAAAATGGGGTTAAAACCGTCTTCCAAAAAAAATAAAAAAGGGGTTAAAAGCAAGAGTCCAAACAAACGTAATCAATAACAAATTTAGATGGAGACATCTCAAGTCGATTTTCAAACGAATGAAACTAATTGAACAAGCAATTGACCCTTTATCACAGTGGTGGAAAAGTGTTGAGTCCTTGCATGACGACGTGGGTTCAAACCCGGTGGCTAATCTAATATCTAATCTAACAAAATCTATCATTTAACCAGAAAAAAAAAAAAAAAAACTAATTGAACAAGACCATAAATCGTTAAATTGTCTATTACAAATTTCTTTGTAGACATGTCAAAAGTTCGCATTGTTAATGTCTTAAAAGCAATTCTCGACAAGCCAAAATAATGAGACCAAAGAACAATTATTGCGAGGGACTTACAATGCCAAATGAACTGTGACAGCTGATTTACCACTAGCTTGTCAATTCGTAATCTCCATGCCACTACTAGTACTACCCTTTAATTACAATTTCTGATATCAAAAGCCTGAGAATCTCTGCTCTCACACCCAATCGTCGAACACATGGAAAGCAAAGATCAGAAGAAACTTCAAATAGCCATGTTCCCATGGCTAGCCTACGGCCACCTAATGCCATTTCTCGAGGTCTCCAAGTTCTTGGCTCAAAAGGGTCACCAAATCTCCTTCATCTCCACCCCCAAAAACATCAATCGCCTCCGATCCTCCTCCTTTTCCCCGCTCATCGATTTCGTCGAGCTTCCTCTCCCCGCTGTCGACGGCTTACCGGAATCCGTCGAGTCCACCTCCGAGCTACCAATCAACAAAGTCCCTTACCTCAAAAAAGCATACGACTTGCTCAAGCCTTCAGTCATGCATTTCATCCAGCACTCGGGAGTCAACTGGGTCGTCCATGACTTCATTTGCTACTGGATGCCCAGGGTCGCCACTCAGCTGGGAGTCAACTCGGTCTACTTCAACATCACCAACGCCACTACCTTGGCTTTCTTCGGTCCTCCGTCCGAGTTACTCGGCAATAAACGCAGGGGGCCGGAGGACTTTACGGTCGTCCCCGAGTGGGTCGACTATCCTTCCAACGTTGCTTTTAAATTGCATGAGATGGTGACCCACTGGGATTGCATGGGCGACGAGGTCTCCGATTTTCAGAGACTCGGGCGTACGATTCAAGATTGTAATTTTGTGACTATGCGGAGCTGCACCGAGTTCGAATCTGACGCAGTGAGTCTGCTCAGGAAGATCTACGGCAAACCAGTTGTTCCACTCGGGCTGCTGCCGCCGGTCTCAGCGCCGCAACAGCACGGCGTCGCTGACGATCGAGGGGATGAGACGTGGGAAGTGCTGAGAGGTTGGCTCGAAAATAAGAAACCGAACTCGGTGGTTTACATCGCCCTCGGCACCGAGGTGACTCTGAGTCAAGAGTTGATGCACGAGTTGGCACATGGGATGGAGAAATCCGGGTTGCCTTTTATTTGGGTGGTCAACAATCGCCCGTTAGTGGAAGGCTTGTTGGGCTCCGATATAATTCCACTCGGATTTGAAACCCGAGTAGAGAATCGAGGCTTGGTCTTGAGAGGTTGGGCTCCACAACTTAATATTCTAGGTCATATCTCGGTTGGGGGTTTCCTTACCCATTGTGGTTGGAGTTCAGTTGTCGAGGCACTAGGGTACGGGCGGGCTTTGATTTTGTTTTCAGGTGCTAATTCAGACCAAGGGTTAATCTCTAGACTAATGCACGATAAGCGGGTTGGGTTGGAGATACCGAGGGACGAGCAAGATGGGTCGTTTACGAGTGACTCGGTGGCCGAGTTGACAAGGCGAGTGATGGTGGAGAAAGAAGGTGAGTCCATAAGGTCAAATGCATGGGCCATGAAGGAGATATTTGGCAACGTAGAGTTGAACAACAAGTGCTTGGATGAGTTCACTGGGGTCCTTGAAACTTGGCCCACTTCCTCCTAGTCGATGATAAATTTTTCATTGAATAAGGAATACGACTCAGTATATCAAGTGTTATAATAAAGATTGTTGGATATTTGAAAATTTTCAATCAGTTATATTGTGACACTTGATGTACTGAATTTTGTTTCTGGCATACTGAAAAATATATCCCAATCAACTTTGTAAATTTCATGTGTTTGGGCCTCTTAGTTGGCATAATTAGATTAGTTGCTTACTTTTTAGTTTGTGTTTTTATTTCGACCCACAATAAAGTGTCATTGGATTGGCCTCTCTTAAATTGTAAGTTTGCTTGCAATAATAACAAAGTAAAAGTTGCTTTACATTAAAAGGATGAGGAGTTCGGCTAAGTCACACAATGGGCAACCTAATTTAGTATCGAATTCATCGTTCACGAGATTCGAACCTAAGACCTCTCACTTACAAATGAAGAGAAATAACACTAGACCGTAGTACTAAATGACTTTCTCAAATATTGTTTGAAAGCCCTATATATCAATTGTGTTCACTACTTATATGATAACACGTAATGCAAATCACGAGAAATGGTAAGAAAGGTGGGACTTTATGTCATTTCATATGTTTAGCATAATGTTTTAAAATATTAGCCAAGAATAACGTTAAATTGTGAAGTAATAAATAGTCGTCACCTTAAGATTCTCCGCAAAAGGGTACGTATCAGATTTAAAATATCATTGTATCAAATAAATATAGCTTCCTCTCACATTCATCGCATGTACCATTACCTACTCATTCCAAGAGATAAATAAAGGCGGCATTGACCCAAAGAGAAAAAAGGTGGCTGAATCTCTTGGCGCTGACTGCAGTTGCTCTGGTGTGATGACGATGACATCAGTAGCGCTAGTGGTTAACAGCGGCGGGAGCCCGGGAATCCATGTTAGAAGCTATGTGTGCTCGCTCTCTATCTGTCACCTACCATTCTTAAAGCTCTCTCTCTAAACAACATATAAGATGATACATACACACACACACACACTATCGTTTGACACCATAGTTTGATACTTCAATCCTAAAATGTAAAGAGATTCTGTCCAATCCGAGACACGAAAACCTAAAGTACGTACGTCAATAATTGTCACCTAATGCCATGTTCCCATGGCTAGCCTACAGCCACCTAATGCCATATCTCGAGGTCTCCAAGTTCTTAGCTCAAAAGGGTCACCAAATCCCTTTTATCTCCACCCCCAAAAACATCAATCGTCTTCGGTCCTTCTCTTTTTGGACTAAATTTGCTAACAGACTACACTACGAGGGTTAAATTTTTTTTTTCTCATTGGGACTATCTTCTGATTACCTTGTCACCACGAGTACCATTTATCCGATTGGATCTTTTTTGAAAAGCATTACATATGTGTTTATGAAATAGTTTTGGTAATGAACGTAAAGATTGATTCTAAAAAATCGAACAGTGAAGATTATTTAAAAAGTCATACTACTTGGTGGGCTAGACTTCTGAAGACAATCGTTTTTGTTATTAACATATTGAAATTTTATTACTAATAAAAGTGTTTCTTGTAAAAAAAACTTTGTAGTATTGAAACTTTTGGCATGTGTTTCTTTATAAAGCATTTATGTAAGGGTAGTGTTGTTCACATACTTCTTTTTACTTTTTACACTCTTGTTAATTTTTTCCATAGATATCTTCAATTCATTCAATTTTTATATAACTCATAAGTATTTTAAGTTTTTTGACAAACGCAATTAAAATGTTAACTGTGAAAAAAATGCTTTCAACATCCCTAACAAAAATACTATCAGCCATTTCAATTTTCCACATGCATAACTGAATCTCTGTGACATATATGGAAGAGCGGCAACATCTCTTATCCTCGAACGGCATGTCACATCGGATGGCCATTATGCTTCGGATCTCTTCGTCCTTCACAAATGCGATGAATGGGCCAATCAGTGGTGGCGGTTCATGCCCAACGGCACAATCATGCACCTCAATTCTACTCCCTACATGGATGTCAATGAGCGAAGAAATTGAGGTTACACCAAATAATTAATTAACAACGTAATAATAATATGGGAATCACCCAACTAAACAACACAAAATCATGTGAAGCACGTGTATTCCCTTCTCATACCATAAAAAAGTTGGAATTCCAGAGTAGCTAACAAAAAGAGGATCACAAAATCATTCTATATCCGCCGACAGGGAGTGCTGACCAGCAGTGGCTGCCTCTCGATAATCAAAATTACGTACGTACTCCAAGTAGCCACGCATGCGTTATCATGCATGTATAACGCTAAGCTACCTAAGCAAGCTGCCGCGTGATTAGTTAGGTGGCCGCCCTAATAGGTTGGTGTCAATATCAAGGATCATTTTAGCTAAAAATTCTAAACTCATTTTCGGTTTAGTGGTATTTTTTATTAGTTCGTTAGATATATCATCAAAGCAAAAATCAAGGTAAGAAAATGTTAGAACTTTGTCAAAGGTAATTTCTTATGTCCTCGTTAAAGATACCAAATAATTGTACACAACGTGTTAATATGACTCAAATTCATCCTGCAAAAAAATCAATATATATATATAACTGTATGAGTGGGGTTTAGCCGGTCATGTGAATAACGGTTAAATACCCATTAGCGACCCGTTAGTTAATAAATTGTGTTGAAAGATATTTCAAATTCGATTAGTACTAATCACCCAAGATAATACGTTTGGCACAAAAGTAGCACCATAAAACGTACGTAAAAGCTTATTGTGTTGTATATAAAACAAACTTAAGCTGCACCAGCTGGAAGCCTGGAACCATGGAAATTGCTGGATTCGCATAAATCACTGCAAAAACATAGGCAGAGAGATCGACGTCATTCTTTTATATCATGCTTGAGTGCACCTTTTAATTGTTAATTACCACTAGATTTGATGCTCTTATTTTTAATACAATGTCCCCGTATCTTCAAAATCTTAATGTTTGAATGGAGCCAAGTGTCTCTTTCAAGTCCAATATTCTGTTGGTTTGGTGTCCACTAGTGATTGGCATTTACAAAATAGAACATGTAGAATGCTAAAGACACCAGCTAGTGCCTTTTTTTTTTTAAATAAAAAAAAAAAAGAGACACCAACTTACGCGGCAATCTTTTATTTCTCTTATTCATGCCCCCCTTTTTTTTTATTTTTTTTTATTTTATAGAAGCGAGCAGTGGCGGATCTACAAAAAACTTTATTTTGGGAGTGCGGGGGGATGGGGGCAATGAGAATAGTACGTGCAGCACACGAAATTGTTTGGGTGGAATAACTTGTACATTGGTATTTCATTAAGTCTGGGTAGGCCGAAGGTCACTCATAATGCATACCTGTCGATAGATGCCAACAGCTTTCGAACGAGTATGTTGACTGATGTCAATAGATTTTGAGCGAGCATGTTGAGGCCAACATATTGGCTTATTCGAAAAAAAAGCCTTGTTCCTTGGAAGATCTATCTTGTGTCTGGTACTCCATGGTTTCACTCTGCAAGAACTCCAAATCATTATGCTGAGTGAGCCTATCGAAGATGCCAATAGCAACGAATATAAAGGCATGAGCCTAGCAGCCACCTTGCCCAATGTAATTCGTTGAGCAGTTGGAAAACAACTTTCAAGCCATCTCAGTTTTACAAAGAGCAGCACCTAGCTTTTTCATGAAGATTTTCTGAGCTTTGGGGGGTCAGCTGATGTCACGCCTCGAACCCGAGATCGATAGAAAAATTCAAACCCGAATAAGAAACGTAAGTTAAAAACTAAATAAATAAAAGGAAATTAAAATGGGATTGAAAACAAATTTCTTTTATAAATAACTCATGAGTCTTAAACAAATCAGGAATTCTTTACATGAATAAACTTTCTATTCTCATTTCTAATCCGATCTCATCCTATCTACTCTTTTGAATGCCTAGTTCGTATATCTGCATAACAATAGAGGGATGAGCATCAACAACTTAGTAGGGACATAACCTTATCACATTAAATTTACAATATTAAATTAAGTGTCATGGAATCACATAGCCAAATATCAAATCTTTTATTTATTTATTATTTTTTTTATATAACAATGCATGAATGCAATCCAACCTCTTCGGCTACCCCCGTTATTTTATATAATAACATATGCGGACATGCACGTCCCATACCGTGCATTTTACCACTGCAGTGGTGGTTCGAATATTCTACTATACAAACTAACCCTCATAAGATATCACAAGTTCATAAACCCCTTTTGTTAGTCATCTTATCTAACTCATTGATCTCCAGCCCAAATCACCGACATCAACAATTTATCCCGCCAATATCCTATTCTAATGTGCACAGTGGGCTCGCCTGGGACCTGGTTCACAATGAATAGATTCAACTACACAAAAAATCATTTCCAATTACCCTCATTTCCAAACCAGTCTCAACACTGAAGTTCCCACCACATCAACATGAATGATGCACAAATAATGTCATTTCATCTTTTATATGTATCACAATATATTCTCAATAAATAGCATTCTAACAATAATTCCATAACCAATAACACGTAAACACTTAACCGAAGCTATTAGCCAATTAATATCGAAGACAATAATCAATAAAAAAGATCAAGAATATTATAACACTTCACGAAATTTAATAAAATCAATTTTTGTAATAGTCTGCCATATTTCCCCTACCTGGATTCGAAAGCTAAAACAAAGATCCACGTCACTACTAGAATAGCTAAGCTCCACGTCACTACCGAAATAGCTAAATTCCGTGTACTTAGGCAAGTTGCTTGATCACTCCTAAATCATCATGTATTTCTTCCACCCTATTTCTTTTCTAATCTCTCTCCACATAAATATATATATATATATATATATATATATATATATATATTAAGTGAACGAGCTCCGGTGCTTGCATTGCATGCTAGCTCATGCTAGAAAAAAAACAAATGGAGTTAATCTCCTATTTATAACAGGAATAAGCGGTATTAAACTTGCTTCTAATTGGATGCTTTTGCGGTTAAAGAT